GCAGCGCGGACCTTCGGCCGGCGAGGCAGCGCGGACCTTCGGCCGGCGAGGCAGCGCGGACCTTCGGCCGGCGAGGCAGCGCGGACCTTCGGCCGGCGAGGCAGCGCGGACCTTCGGCCGCCGCACGCCCGTCCACTTCCGCTGCCTCTCTAGGGGGCTCGGAGGCTGTTTCGGCTCTCTGGCCTACTCGCTAGCGGCCCCCCGCCCCCGAGGGCTAGAAACCCCCCTTTCCCTGCTTCCGCTCCCCCAGAATGGAATGGGACTTCCTGTTAGAGACAAGCTTGGCCCTTGCCCCACCCCACTCCTCACCTGCCACGGGAATGGGTCTCGTTTGGAGAGTCGGGCGCACCACACCCTTGTCTTCCGACGGTGGCACAGACAGGGCAAGGAGCGCGTCCGCGCTCACTCAGCTGCCGGGGACACACGGCCCCACCGCCGTCCTCAGCCTGCCCCCCGAACGCTGCGTTGTCGCCGCGGGACCTTCCCCGACGCTGCACGTCCTCCTGTGCGCCCCGCCCAGCAGGCCGCCAGCCCCGGACACGTGCGCGTGCGGCCTCACCTGCGCTCCCCGGAGCGGGAGGAGGACCCCAACGTTCCAGGCACTGGAGAGGAAACAGGCGATAGAGCGTCCGCGAGCGCCAAATATCAGCCACATCAAAGCGAAGCCGAGCCGTTCACGCAGTTATAAAGGCCAGCGGGAACTACGCAGGCCTTCCCCTTGTAGGGCGATTGTGAGATCAATCCGCAAGCCCAGAGGAAAGCTTTTCATCCTATCCCTCAGGGCCTTCCCCCAGCCTGATCTTTTTTCTGGGAGGTGCACCCTCCACCCGTAATGAGGGAAATGTCCAGCCCTCCCTGTGTGTGGACCCTGCCCCTGGGCTCCCGGGGAAGCTCTACTCTTAACATTTACCCAGGTCAGAATGACTCAGCAAAACCTCAGAGCGTGGGGTTCATTTCTGCCCTGAGCACCACTGTGCATCTCCTTCCCTAAAGAAAATAATAAAAAAGGAGCATTCTGAACACAAAGGCATCAACTTCTCTGGTTGCCATGAGTCGTGCAGCCCTGCAGATATTAGAAGAGTAACATAAGCTCTGCAGCTTCCGGAAATGTCCTTTGTCTAATGATTTGTACTTTCTCTGTAAAAAACGAATATAGCCCTACACCAAATACTCCCTCACCAGAGCACTGCCTTCTTTGTGCAGATTGTGTATTCCGGGCAGCCGTCCTAACTTGGGCTTGAGTAAAAAAAACTCTCTTTTTAAAAGAAATTCTAAAAGGTTCATTCTTGCGTCAACATTTCTTGGCGCAGCTGTAGGATCTCAGAGCCACTTGCCTGCAAACACCTGGGGGGTCCTCTGGAAATGGGTGCTCGGGACCAGCATGGGCCCCTTACGCCCCTCTGACGTCTCAGCCCCTCACAGGTGTATCTGGTGAATTCTCCGGATATACAGACCTGACTTTGACTTGAGCTGTTGAGGGTTACTGATAATGTTCTCTAGGTGGGAATAACAGAGGGGGTTGTTTATGGGTCGTTTAATTTGGCGTTACACCAACTGATGTTATTAATATAAGGCTTGAATAAAATTTTCTGGCTGGAAAAATGAGACTGAATCATTCAGCTCAGAAGAGAGGGGACACTTGCTGCTTACACGCACGTGGTGCTTTCAGGTGACTGATAGCCTAGCAGAAGTGTCTGAGGATATTCCTCCAGATGCGGAGCTCTCCCATAGGAACTTCCCACCTCATAAGGTGACTAATGATTGGCTTGTCCAGGGACGGGCCATCCAGTGTACTGAGCACCCTCAGTGGTTTTAGGCCTTGCTGGGAGAAACCAAGACACAGACACTCACATGCAGCACCCTCTTGATCCACATCTAATATCCTTAGATCTAACTCAAGCCATAGTCTACAAATGAAACGGAAACTAAAAGGAACAGGGAACCGTGTTTCAAAACCGCTGGAAAACCAACAACTGCCCACAGAGAACTCCGGCAGGCTTTATGAACAATGGATACAAGATTATACGTGCAAGTACTTCCTAACCGGAAAATTTAAGGATAACCTGAGTCTCAGATGGCCCAAATGGGGTTCTTTTGTCATGTCTGAAAGCCAGCTATAAGACTAAGCAATCAGAAACAAGGATACCATTTGGTTCAGTCAGTAAAGCCCCCAACTTTTGGGAGGAACCAACACTCAAAGAGACACTCTGGGCTTCATGTGGTTTGTTTTTGCTGTAGCTTTTGGTATCTTTGCACCAAACAGGCCGTGTTCTAATTGGAAAATGGAAAATAACTAATTAATAGATTCATAAATTATAATGCTATCTTACGATTAATTTTAATAAAAGGGGGATATTTGGAAATTGGGTCTTTAATGTTTTCTTCACAAATATTAGTGAAACTATTAGAGTAGGCAGGGAGGCTCTAACCGGATGCCTGGAGGCCAGCAAGGAGGTGGCCATGGGCAGCTGTGGGGAAGGTCAGAGGCCTGTCCTGGCAGCATCCACGAGAAGCCGGATCCCACCACACAGGCCCACGATGGTGGCACCACAACAGGAAACCCCTGGTCAAATAAAAAGGCACAAAATCCTGCTACCAAGAAATCCTTACCTCCAATAATGAATATCCCACCCACTTGTTAAGAACTGTTAATAAGGGGCACCTGGGTGGCTCGGCCGTTAAGCGTCTGCCTTCGGCTCAGGTCATGATCCTGGAGTCCCAGGATCCAGCCCCACATTGGGCTCCCTGCTCAGCAGGGAGTCTGCTTCTCCCTCTGACCCCCCCCCCTCATGTGCTCTCTCTCTCAAATAAATAAAATCTTAAAAAAAAAAAACTGTTAATAAAAGGTAAAACCCAAACCCCAGGAATGCAGCTCTCTCTCAAGCTGGCTGTCCGCTTTAATAAACTTTCCTGTTTGTGTCGCTCACCTGCTGTGCTGCATGTCTGTCCTTGAATTCTTTCTCAGGAGACCAAGAGCCTTTGGCAACATCTTTGGGATAGGCCAGGTTGAGACCCCAGGGCCCAGCATCTCCCCAGTGCACCAGGCAACATTTGGACCAGATAATTGAAACAGAATGTAACATTCCCGAATTCCCCCTTCAATTTTCTCCTCCTGGCAGGGCTGCCCTTTCAGGCCTTTCCTCCCCTAGCCCACCCCCATCTCCACTGGGAAGCCTCTCCTGCCTTTGCTCTTCCCCTTTACCCTCTGGCCTCCTGTCTGCTCCCTCCTCTGTAAGGTGAGAAGGGAGGGAGCTGTGTGAGCACTGGGGGCGATCCCCGGAGGGACGGAGCTGGAGCTCAGTGTGGTCTGTGCTGGCACCGCAGGGAAGGACGCAGTGGAAACCTCGTGTCCTGAATGCCCACAGCCCCAGGGAGGGCCGACGGGGAGGCCCGGCAGTCTGCGGTGTGCTCAGGAGCAGGGGACAGCCCCCCACCCCCCGGAGCCCCTGCCCGGAGGGAGGACGAGGAGCAGCTTCCTCTCGGCCGACACTGCTGGGCGAAGAGCTGGCTGAATCTGCCGGCGCCTCATTTCTCAAACCCACCCGCTCCCAGCGCTCGGGGGCAGCTCACTCATCTTCCCGCGGGGAGCACGAGTTTAGGGGTTTCATGCTCCATGCTGCTGTCCGTGGAGGCTGCGGGAGCGGGGGGCGAGCGTGGGGAAGAAAGCCGCCCTGCTCGGCACCCGGCGCACAGCGGAAGGGCCGCCTCTGTATCCAGGGCTGCGGGTGAGGCTGGTGCTCTGAGCGCGCTCGGGAACCAGCAGCAGCAGCAGCGCGGGGAGCTTGCCGAAAATGTAGATTCCTGGCCTCCATTCTGACCTTTTGAATTAGACTCTGTATTTTAAGAAGATCCCACGTGATTTGTAGATACTCTAAAATTTGATAAGCATTATTCCAGATAATCTGAATTTAGCTAATTGTTCTATTCACAAATAAAACGGTCAAGGAATTTTAAAAAGGTTCTTTTTGCTATGGTCCCTAAAGTCTAAGGAAAACCAAATATACACACACATACTTCTTTTTATAAACTTCAAGGATAAAAGTTTAGCACAGTATACTTCTAAGCTAAACTTTTATCTCCTCTCTTTGGAAGTTCAGCTTCGGATTTTGACCTTGGGGAAAAGGATAATGCAAATATCAGAAGAGGCATTTAATATCCTGTTAAGTTCCAACAACTCCGCCTATGCTCATCAGATGGTATTAGTTCTTTGGTAAATCGGAGTGCACATTTACTGAGAGCTGTTGTAAATGTTTTAAAAGTTTGCATTCATTGAATCTCAAGCGCCCGGTGAGGAGGGCACGGTTAATCATGAGGTCTGCAGAACCGCTTGGCATACCCACAGGTCACTGCAGATACACAAGTCCGCCCTGCCCAGGTCAGCTGAACCCCACAGATTCATGTGCTAAAGAAATGCTGATTGCTGCCGGCCACCAAAGTTCTATGGCCATTTGTTATACCACGTTATTATGGCAACGAAAAACCGAAAAACTGAGGCACAGGGGTGGCTACTGGGGAGGGAACTAGGTAAGTGCAAAAAAGGGAAAGGGAAATTTCCCTTCACAGAATACTCTCTGTACTTTTTCTCATTTTTGTATCATTTGAAATACTTATTGTAAGAAAACAAAGAAATAGTAGTGATTGAAAAGCCTGGTAGACTATCAATACACAGTAGCATCAGGTAAAGAACAGGACGCACAAAACTAGCGATAAAATCAAATGATGATTGCTATCATAGAGGATTCAACCAGGAAAGCAAAGAGTAGAAAAAATAATGCTGACTGGGTACAGAGCAGTGAAAGCATGTGGCTTAGGAGCAAGTGCGTTTGAATTAGGCCCTACAAGAACAAAGAGGAATTTTTCAGGCAAGGACAGGGCACTGGGAGGGGACTCAACATGACAGGCCAAGCAAACAACAGGACCTCAGTTATTTTCGGTCACACTGCGCAGGGGTCCTGGTGGACGAACTGCAGGCTACAGGGTGAGGGTAGAAGTGTGTGGAAAGAGGTCAGGTGGGGAAAGATGCACTGTACTAGAAAACAGCCTTGAACTCTAGGCTGAGATGTTTAGACTTTATTATACGGAAAAGTGAGGGGCATGAAGCTCTTATTTCATTGTCCCAGCATTAGATCTGTATTTTAAAGAAATACTGAGTACGATTCAGGAAGGAAATGGTAAGAGTATGTTGCAGGGTTGTGGCACTTAAGTTGGGAGGCTGAATGGTGGCTATACTGGTAGTTTACTTTCATGGTAGAATTTGAGTTTTATATATGACTTCAGCTCTGTGTATGTCTGAGAGAATTTGAAGTTTTTCAGCTATGCTTTATTGTGGGAAAATGTATTTATTCCATTCATGCAAATGCTGTGTGTCCACCAGATGCCTGGCATGGTGTGGGGCACCTCGGCCACAGCAGTAAGAGGAAGCAGACCTGGTCCTTGCCTTCCTGGCATTTAAAGTGGGAGAGACAGACGTTCGTGCAATGTTCACATAAAATTAGGTTACAGGGTTGAGAACACGGAGAGTTAACCAAGATTGTGGAGCTTGCTCTTTGCCAATGTCCAAGGCCCACGACTGCACTGTTTTCACTCCTTACTGTAGCATCTGGGTGTCAGGGTTTTTGAGTCTTCAGTCCAGGAAGCCTGTAAATCTGAGAATTCCTAACTATGAATTTGCATTGGATTTCGTTATTATTAAGTGTGGCTTCCCACGGGGTTAGATTTACAGGCACAAACTGTTCTATGACCATGGGGCTGCACCTTAATGCTACTGAGAAACCATGGACCACAGGAAGACTCCTCACAGCCCCACCGCCACAGGTGGGGCGGCCTCTCTATTTGCTGTGCTGCTCCCCCGACAGTTGCTAGGCTTAGGACTGACCTCCTGGTCTTGTGCCACAGTGAACCCTGTCTTTACCCCTAATGCCCGGCACGGTGCCGAGCCACTGCAAGGGCTCCATGGACGTTCTCGGGATCAGGAACTGAATTCTCCCTTTTCATTTCGTCAAGCTGTGGCAAGGGAAGGGAAGGGAAGAATCGAAAGACAGCCTCTTTCGATTCCCCCCACACCACTCCTGCTCCCAGGATCTGTATACGTTATCCAGTGTTCCCAACCAGTCCTCCTGTGTCTGTCCCCACTCCAGCCACGTTCCAACCTGCTACAGACCCTAAACACCTCTTACGACAAAACATCTGGAGGATTTACAAGTTTAGATTTGCCACGAAACTATGGATGAATCTTTCTTAAATGTTTTATTTACATGATTTATTCAATTATGTGCAATTTGGTGTCCTCTGATGAACCAAATGGAATGAGTTCTTTAAAATCGTCTTTAGAGAAACAGGGCTGCATAGTGAGTAATGTTCAAATCATGTGGCCTCTGTCAAGTGGGACTGACCAAAGCACCCATCTCAGAAGGCTGTTGTAACAATTATATAATGTATATGAAAAGCTCAGCACAGTACCTGGCCCACAGCAACTGCTAAATAAATATTAATTACCTGGTATTCTTAGCAAAGCAGTATTAATGAGTTGAATATCCTTGTACAGAGAAAATAAGGCAAACAAAATAAAACACTGAATTCACAGACCAATATTCAGTAGATAGTTGAAAATCCTGGAAGAAATATTCAAGAAAGGCCAAGACAGACTATGACCTGCAGTGACCTTCCAAATGTGTGCTGAAGCCTACTTCTAGATCCCGAGAGGGGCATAACCCTGAAATCCCAATGGCAGCTCAAAAGCAACAAATCGAAGATTGGATTCAGATTTCCAGAGTAACATGGTACAGCCAGTTATGCTTCATTACCAACTGGCTCCCAACATTAGGAGATGATACATAAGAAGAAATAAAGAAAAGGACATGGCCAGCCACAAATACAAGATAAAAATCTCAGTGGACTGAAACAGACACACAGAGTAGCAAGTGCAGTGAGGCTATGGGCTAACGGGTCTCTAAACAGCTGGGGACAGCCTAGAATTCAAGATTCGAGGTGGCAGTGGCGTGTGTCAGAGTGCAGGCATCCAGGCTCACTTTCTGATGGCAGGGGCCTCAGAGGAGTTCCACACTCATGGGGGTGTGGGGGTGGCCGGCAGGAAAAAAACGACTCTGCTGCTGACTCGGCCTGTGGCTTTGATTAGGAGCTACGGGCCCAGCCAGCGACAGGACCAGCCTCATTTGCAGTAATCAAGGCCAAGAGCTGCTGGCCCCATACCAGGTCTGTCCACCTAATAACCACTCGGGGCAGCGACACGAATGCCCTAGATGTAAGACCCAGAAAGGATCTTAGATGTAATGCTGAATGAAGTGAGAAAAATCTAAAATACTTTCCCACTCAAAAGAAATTCCAAAATATGCAAAATTCTAACCCTCAGAAAAACAATAAAAAATTAAAATAGAAATTCACTTGGGATGAAATTTATTCTATCCATAGTCCAAGAAATTTATAGAGTAAGTGATTTTGAGAAATACAGTGAAACCAAAACAGGTAAAATGTAACATCAGGTAGATATAAAAAAGAATTCGAAATCTTAGAATAAAAAGAATTTTGACACTGAAAAGGCATTAGAGGATAAACCACAGAATGGATACAGCTGAAGAATAACAGCGACTTTTAACTGTTCAGTATCTGACAACACTAAAGACTTCACTCTGAATGCAGCAAGAGACAAAAACCATGGAGCAATTAAGATGAAACGACGTTATGTTGAGAGAATACAACTTTAATACAAGAGGTTCAGAAGAGGAGAATGTAGTGAATGGCTGAGAAATAAATCAAGGATAATAATAAAACTAAGAATTTTCCAGAAATAAAGGCATGACTTCTCAGATCAAGAGTACACACTGAGACAGAAATATAGTGAAGCTGCAGCCTACTGAAGACAAAGAGACAACCTTAAAAGCTGACCAGATGACCTACAAAGGAAACAGCAGACTGCTCATGAACAAAACTGGAGAACAGAATGCAACCGGAGTGGGGAAAGGTTGGCCAACACAGAATCTGCCCCCAGCCAAACAGAAGGAAGTCATATGCTACCCACAGACCCCTCGTAAAAGTCAAGGATGCAGTTCAGCAAACGAAAGTGAACTCAGAGAGAAGGTGTGAAAAGAAGAAGTAACATAAGCCCAAGAACTTAAAAATATGACAATAAATTTAAACGATTATGACAAAAAAATCCCTAAAAAGTAATATATTCAATCATATGTAAAATGCTGTACGTACAAGCTTATTTACTGAGGCACGGCTTGTGACAGGAAAAGGCTGGGAACAACATGAACGTCCGCCAGCAGGGCACTGCAAAAACACATTACAGGAATTAGTATATTGGATTACGACGCAGTTCAAAAAAATGAGAAAGCTCTTTATGCACAGATATGAAAGGACTGCCAAGATAGTTAACTGGAAAGAGCAAGGTGAAGAACGAGTGTGACTAACGCTATCAGTTGTATACAAAATATGTATATCTGTGTATTTGAATTCCCAAGCAACATTATTTGTCTTTGGGATGGAAAAGGAGTGGCTGGGGGCAGGGAGGACGTGCAATTTTTCAAAGAATATCCTTCATCGCTTTTTTTTTCTTACATAAGAATATTTTACTACACAAAAGGGGAAGGATATGAAATTAAAATCCTAACGTGTAATGACAAGATGAGGTACATGTTCAGTTCAGTTAAATGTTACAGTGTTAAGGCCCCTGTCGTCAGGGGAATAGAAATACTGAACAATGAAACACTTCATTTAAAAAATTCTAAAGGTAAATACACCTCTTACAATTTAAGGGTAAATCGCAAGCATATGGAATGAATGGAGCACTCACGTAAGAATGCTGATAGTTCAGTATGTACAACCACTTTGGAAAATTCTTTTTTTTCTTTTTTAAAAGATTTCATTTACTTGAGAGAGAGAGAGCAAGCAAGAGAGCACAAGCTGGGGGGAGGGGCAAAGGCAGAGGGAGAAGGAGGCTCCCTGCTGAGCAGGAAGCCCAACGCAGGCTCGATCCCAGGACCCGGAGATCATGACCTGAGACCAAGGCAGAGGCTTAACCGACTGAGCCACGCAGGCGCCCACGGAAAATTCTTTAGAATTATCTACTAAAGTTTCAGAATGAAAAAAAAGTTCCCTCCTTCCCAGGAAAAGACTGCTTGGTCTGTACCCATGGTGTCAAGTAGCCCAGATGTGGTTTGTTCAATCACTGAACAATTCATTTCAGAGAACGTATTTTTGCAAGTCAATCAATTAGTGACAACCCATAGCTTTTGAAAATCAGCCAATTCAGAATAACTCATTCCAATAAACACATCTGAGTCCCAACTAACTGACGACAGTCTGTTCCATGAAACCACGCTTCCACAGACGATGTCAGCCCACTTAACCCCATAAAGATCCAGCAATAGTGAACTGCATGCTTCTCAAAACTCCTATAGAAGGTCAGCAATCTCTTCTGTTCAGAAGGACTGTACCCAGTCAGCATACATCTTCAGCTCCGTCTTTGAGTTTCAGATACTGAGTGATAGTGTCATCATTTATTAACAAGTGGAACACAGGTGTACCCCATAACTAAGTAATTCCACTCCTAGCTACAGATCCTAAAGAAACAAGTGCTTACTCCACTAAAAGCTAAATACATGTTCAGAGCAGCTTTATTCATAATAGCTCCAAACTTGAAACAACCCAAATGTCCATCAACTGCATAATAAATAAATAGTAAGATTGTGGTAGACAGAATTCAAACATGGCCCCATGATCTCTGTCCTCTAGTATTTCTCTTTTGACTGTTGGTTTCCATGCCAAAAGTTATAATTAAGATGTAATTGTCAGAGTGGGCAGTTAGTGAGGCTCTACCAGGATGCCTGGAGGCCAGCAAGGAGGAGGTCATGGGCAGCTGTGGGGAAGATCAGAGGCCCGTCCTGGCAGCACTCTAAAACAAAGCCACAAGAAGCCAATCAAACCAGCACAAAACCCTGCTTCCAAGAAATCCCCGCCCCAAGAAATGAATATTCCACCCCCTTACTGACAACTGTCAATAAAAGAAACCCAAACCGCAGTGGGCAGCAGTGCACTGGTGCTCTCACATCTCGAAAATGTATTATTACTGTGTTGTGTCTGTCCTTGAATTCTTTATGTGACGAGACCAAGACCCTTTGGCGACATCTTTGGGACAGTCTGGGTCAAAGCCTCAGGGCCTGGGGTCTCCCAAGTTCACCCAGCAACATAATTAAGGTTACTAATTAGTTGGCCTTATGATAGGGAGATCCATCTCTGGGTGGGGCTAAACTACTTGCATGATCCCTTTAACAGTAGAATATTCTCTGTCTGGTGACAGAAGAGGTCTGTCTGGTGACAGAAGAACACGTCAGGTTTGAAGCAAGAGGAGGATCTGACGCACATGTGCTGGCTTGTCCATGGAGAAGGGAACCTCAGGTAAAGGAATGCAGGCAACCTCTACAAGCTGAGGCCAATCGCCAGCTGGCAGCCAGCAAGGTGAGGGGAACCTCAGTTCTACCAGGAACTTCAATCCTACAACCACAAGAAATTAAATTTTGACAACTGTTTAAGACTCTTGTGTTTTTTAAATATACTGTGTAGATTTGGTGCCGTTTATATTACACACTCTTAAGTTTTCCTATTTGATTTATTCTGATGCCCTGGTTCCTGACTGTTCTAGACAGATACTGTTGCCATTTATTCACTCAATAAATGTTCTCTGAGCACCTATGACATACCCGGCCACTTTGCGAGGCACTAGAGATACAACTGTGAAAAAGAACCACCTCTCTGTTTGCTGGAGCTTACATTCCATTAGAAAAGACAAACCGAAAGTAACATTAACAACAACAAAAGTGGGTAAGGAGGCAGGCAAATAAGGACTAGGTGACAGAAGTACTGTGAGGAAAACCAACCGGACCCTGAGGTATCAAATAAACGGAGGACCTATGAAGATAGAGTGGTAGGAGGTGAGGTAAACATCTAAGTGGAGTCCTTAAGAGCGAAAAGGAGTGAGCCATGCAAAGACTAGAAGTGGGGACAGGAAGAGCACTTGACTCTGTTCAAAGGCCCTGAGGTAGGGTAAGGTGTGGTCAAACAAATGAAAAGAGCCTGGAGTGGATCCAGCCAAATGAGAGAAGAATGGTAAAAATTTAGGCTGGCAAGATAAGCCGGATCATGCAGGCACAGGAGCTTGGATTTTAAGTGCAAAAGTCATGGAAGACTTTTAAGAAGAGAAGTGAAAAGACTGGATTTAACTGGATTTATGTGTTAAGAAGCTCTGCTCCTGGGTGGTGAATGAGCTTAGGGAATGAAGGTGGAAGCAGAAAAGCCCAGTTGAAAGAAGAACGGGGGTGGAGGCTATTGCACTGGATCCAGAAAGACTTCCACCTAAGTATGTTACTGTATTCTTCAAGTTAACTTAACTTTGAAAAATACTCCTGAAAGCAAAACAGCTTAATCTTTATTTGTAAAAAAGTGCTTCAGTCTTTGGACAGACGTTTCTGGAGCTGTATGAAGAGCTGGGTATACACAGGAGTTTGTAGCTCACAGAGGGGGGCAGGAAAGAATTAGAACTTGGTGAAATAAAAGCCATAATGTTGGAGGCGTGTTAGGTATACTCCTGAAGGAAGTAGGAGAGCTCATTCTAAATCCAGTATTCGGTTTCTATGCATTACCTGTAACCCACCAAAGAATTCACTTCACAGACACTCAGTGCCTATTAGGGGTCAGCCAGCAAACACATGATATAAAGGGTGATACAATCGCAGAATTTGATAATGTGTCGTCCTGTTCCTTAACTGAACTAAAATCACGGAGGAAAAAGCACAAAAGAGCACTTTTCCTATTAGCTTCACCGTATTAGCAACGAGAAATAACAAAAATCGTCAACCACTTGTGTTGCAAAATAAACCCCAAAGCATAACCAAATACAACGACAAATGAATGGAGGAACCATTTAAATACCATGAGGAAACAGGCACATCCAGAATCGGCGGTCCTCTACCGGAGGAAGGGCAGGTATTCCCTGCAACAAGGCAACCGACGGGGAACAGACACGGGACAGGCAGGACTGTTCTAAATTTTCAAAGAAAACCACATGCAATGAATGGTCTTTAACTGGATCCCAGTTGGTGCAAATCAGTTGCAAAAGACGCCTGTAAGACAACTAAGGGAACGGGAACTAGGCGTCAGGTGGTTTTACGGACCGCTCCCGCATTTAGTTAGCGTGGTAATGGTACTGCCGTCACGATTCGCGTCCATAAGATGCCAATTTTTGAAGAGACACACTGGGGACTATTTAGGAATGACAAGTCCTGATTCTTGTTACCTCCTTTGAAATATTCAGAGAAAAGAACACATGCAATAAATGCTTCATAATGCTAACACTGGCTAAACAAAGGGGTATAGGGGGTGCGGCTGTCCACGGGGAGCAGGACCCCAGTCGCGCCCCCCCCCACAGCCCCGCCCTCGGGGGGAGTCTCTCCCACTCCGCCCGGGCTGCACAAGGAGTCCGGGGGCCAGGCCAGCGCCCACGGCTCCTCCCCGCCTACTCCAAGGCGCGGACCTTCAATCTTCCCGGGCCGAAACTACCTTCAGTCCAGGGAAACTCGGCACCGCGGCGGGTAGCAACACCCTGGCAACCGAGCAGCCCCAGAGGCCGGAAGTGCGTCAGCCGTCTGCGCCCAGTCGCCTTCCGGGAGCTCTCCTGTCCTCTCTAGGACCCCGGAGGGCGCTGCGTCTCGGTGGCCACCTCGCCGCCCAGCTCGGGCTCCCGCGGGGGAGGGCCAGGCCTCTGGGTCAGGCGGCTTCGGAAACGCAGCGGTCCCTCGAGTTCCACTGCTCGCCCTTGGTGTTGACAGCACCAAACGAGACGGTGGTTGTGGGGCTGAGAATACAGGGTTTTGTTGCAACTGTCTTCTGGATTCTCGGAGTCGAGGAGGAGACGCGGGCAGGTGAACAAGTAACTACTTTAAGGCTGATGTGTACGTGAAATGAAATAAATGTTTTGTGAGTCAGCCTAGGCTGTAGTTATCGCTGTGTACTTAGAACACAGATACCTGTACTAAGCCGAATTGGCGGCCGAGAACACCGAGGTGAGCTGGCGGAGCTCGCGGGAGCATTGGAGGAGGACCAGGGGAGGAGCGTGGGAGCATCGGAGGAGGATGGAGGACGAGGGCGGGAGCATTGGAGGACGGGGGAGGAGCGCGGGAGCATCGGAGGAGG